AGTGCTGCAGCAGCAGACTCCACATGTGTAAGAAGATACTCGTAGATCTTTTTCCTTAATCGATCGATTGTTTCTTTAGAGACTTCTTGTAATCCTTCTCCATCTTCTTTTGAACCAATCTCGTCTAACCAATCATTCACACTCTTGAGCTGAGACAGCATCCCTGCGATCTGCCCGTTATCAGACAGATTCAGATTCGAAGATGTCTCCAAGACATCAGCGTCCAAGAATCTCTCTACGAAACCCAAAAACCAATCTTGTGAAACCGTTTGCAACTTCTCAGCTAGATCAGTTGCCTCGTTCAGACCATTCCCTTTCACCCAGTTTAGCGGTGGAGACTCTGACCCTGCTAGTGCGGTGGCCTTTTGGCTGCTACTACTATTATCCCTGTGTTTACGGATCATGCCTTGTGCTACGAGTTTAGATCCAATTGTTGGCCGGGTTTGGACATTCCCACGGGTTTTACTTGTGGAATTAGTACCCGGGTTCTCGAGTATGATCACAGGTTTGCTCCTGGAGGCGGCAAGTTTGGTTGGTTTGCTGGAGTAGACAGAGAAGGCCGATAAGTTAGTGACTAACGCGGCTTGGACCCACGAGGCAGCCAATTTCTGCTTTTCCGATGCCATTTTAACAGCTACCTCAGATCTGTTTTCTTCATTTTCTGAAGATGATGTGGAAGACATTAATCTGGACAATGAGTCGGTTATTATTTGAACGTTCTTCAAACCGGAATGGAGCTTCAAGAACTGCTCAACGACTGGCAATGGATCATCTTCTTTTGCAGTTGACATAAGATCGTTGTACATACTACAAAAAGGGGAAGCAGGATAAAGTTTAGAAACAACTAAGGCAGTAATTATTACATTCAGAGACAAAAAAACATATATGTCCAAATCATTTCCAATGAATAACTTTGGTTAGAGCGTACGTACATAAGGCATTGAAGTAAACTCTCGGAAGCAGAGGCTTCTTGCATGGCCTCTATTGCAACAACTTGAGCAGCATCTCTATGCCTCAAGACTTCCTGCAAATAAATATTGACATCAGCAATGAGCCAATAACCTTGTCTTAAAATTTAACTACGATGCCAAAGAAAAAAACATAAGATGCATATGCTATACTGAGAGGTTCTATTCTATCGCTAAGTAAATAGTTTAGATTGGAAATAGGTTCAAGTAAGAAAAACAGTACAACAGATACAAAATATTTAGATCCTCTACAGTCAGTATTTTGCTTACAGAATTGGCATCTGGATGAACGAATTCATAAACTGGTCATTTTGAAGATGAATTTTCCTAATCACTAGAAGTTTCTAAGCATAATAAAGCAAGCACAAAATAACATGAGGATGCAAGAATAGTCAAGCACATACCTGTCCTAGCCTCGAAAGAGATGAAGGGAGTGAATTCCACTGGACATTGGCAGCCGCTAATCTTTTACCGTTAACAGGGATTTTGACCAAATTCCCAGGCAATCCATTCTCTGCAGTAGATTTCTTCTCGACAGATATAGATCTAGGCTTACTAGTTTTAACTTTGGTGTCCAATATTCCGGTTGTCTCAGCTTTCTTAGTTGACTGAATTTTATTGTGCTCCTTCAATGATTTTGCAAATATACTAGCCCTATCCTGTTTAGTTGGCAGCTTCTCACTTGATGTGCTTTTCCGCGGAGCCTAGAAACCAAAGTTATACAAGCTATGTTCAGAGAATCTGAAAACACGAGACTGATAGGAAAAAGATGAGCAAACAAACGAGAATGATATAAATGCAGATTCTACAGTTAGTAAGGAATAGAACCAGTTAAACAATGCTCTCAAACAACAAGTCAAAGAGATTTCAGCTTCAAACCAAGTACTGATAACTAAGAAAATATAACTGTACAAATGCAACTTTGCATGTATATATTATACCCTTTAGCAATATAAAGACAAGAAAGCTCAAAAAACACAAGCTTACTGTGAATCCCCGGGAATCAGGGGTTAAATCACGTTTGGCAAGCTTCAATTTTGTGCTATCTGAACTCCTCCTGATATCTCCTTCCCAGCTTTTCCTCAACGCCTTAGCTCCAAACTCAATCCCCTGCACGAAATTTTTAATCATGGGAAGCTTTTTCCCGACCTTCGGACTCTCCACTTTAAGAGAAGACCGCCCTTTCTCAGACAACCCCATTCTAGGAGAACCTTTCTCCAATATCTTTGGCTTCACATTTTGTTGCTGCTTAATCCCATTTGCAAACTTTGCAAAAGAAGTAGGCAGCGAATAACAGCTCGTGGGCGAAGAAGGAATAGACTTTGAACCAGAAGAAGTCTTGACCTTCCCCAAGGATAAAGATTCCTTCCTTACATCCAAACTCAAGCCTGATTTAGCAGATTTCGCTCGGAACAAAGCAGACGGCTTTTTACCCTCTGAAGATGAATCATCCCTAAAAACACTAACACTCGGTCTATTCCCTACCGTTCTCTCAGCCTCACTTGCACTGCCATTAGAAACCACTCCTCCTTTACCAGAAGTTACCTTAACTCTTTCTTTCTGTTTCGAACCAAACGAGCCATTACAATTAGCAACACCATTATCCTTATTACTGACCTTACCATCACTTAGGAACCCTAACGAGTCAGTAGCTACAATATCTTCAGGACTACCAACACAAGGATGCCTACCAGGAACAGGCCTAACACCACGGAGAATCGGAACAGGGGAAGAAGATTCAACCCTATCGACATGAATAAACTGACCTAATTGAAGCTTATCGCTAAGAATCAAATCATCGTGCTCATCAGGTAAAGAGACATAAGTGGCGTGAGAGGAATCAGAGACTTTGAGATAAAAGCCCTGGTTCGGGAATAGCTCACCACCGGCTAAAGCAGGGACGATACTGACTACTTGTAAGAGAGAAGACCTGTGTTCTCCGGCGATTTTGAAGTCGGTGTTCATGTGCTGGAGAAGCTTGAGCAAAACACCGGGAACTAGATTCGCCATCTCCGGTAAAGGGCATCACCGACGGATCAGATCTCGGAGGAAAAAAGCAAACTTTGAGGATTCCAATACAGAAAGATTACAAATTTGCAAAGCCAAGAGGGACAACTAATGTAAATGGCAGAAAGAAAGCAGAGGAGAGAGAAGACAGGTAGGTATTGAAGCAAGAGGAATGTGATAATAATGTTGAGAGACTGGTGTGGTGTGTTTTTGGTCTGTACTACACTTTCTCTCTCTATTTCTTTGGATTTTAAGAATGAGAGAAAGAGCAATAAAAGAAGCAAGTAAAAGGTCAGAGTCAGATTCAGGAGATGAGAAAAAGATGGGAATTTATTTATTTGTTGCCTTGTGACTTATGTATCATCTTCTTCGTCTTTAAATCTGTTATTAGTAGAATGTTTCACATAATTTCATTTGTTAATCTCAATTTTTAAAGAGCACAAAATGAAAATGA